ATACATGTCCAGTGACGGTGTTCTTACGCCCTGTCTCTTATACACATCTAGATGTGTATAAGAGACAGGTATGTATATGTGTATCTATAATCTATATATCTATAATAATAATAATAATAATAATAATATATTATGATAAAAATGATGATGATAATTTGATGAGAATGATGATGACGATGGTGCGCCAATGGATGCTGATCGTAAAGTGTCCTTTAAAAGTAATGATACTAAGACTAATTAATATTACTTTGAATAACATATTAACACTGTGTTTTGCAGGTAAACCTACACATTGAAGATAACAAACTAATTTTGACCGAAACACCAAACGAGGGACTCGAACGCATCATAACAAAGGAGTTACTGGAAGATGGAAATTTGAGAGAGGTAAAATATTGCTTCACAAAGCTACTACTCCCAGGCCTACTACTACTCTAATACTACTACCACTACTACTACTACTACCACTACTACTAACTACTACTACTACTACTACTACTACAACTACTACTACTTCTACCAGGCCCGTATCCAGGAGGGGTTTTTATGGTTCGGGAGAACCAAAAGCACAAAATTCTCTTGCTTTGGGGGTTTCGCCGACCCCACCGGGGCTTCGACTGTCGACCTGACACCCAGAAACCCCCACCCCCCTTAGAAGAACCTGGCTACGGGCCTGACTACTATCACCATCACCAAACTTGATGAGGTGAATTAAACGTGTTTTGATTTCTTTTATTTTTGCAGACATCTAAAATTGGTGATATAACAGCTGTCAGTATGCTGAATAGAGTTGCAGAATAACATCAATATTTCACTACAACTTTTTACTCATTAAATTTAAAAAAAAAACCAATTGTTAGATATATAAATTTCATAAAATATAAATGCTGGGGGAACCGTGTTTTACTAGGAACGCTGACAAGTGGTGTGTTTCTTTTATAACATTTGATGACGTCTGCTGTGTCGTCGACGAGCGCCTCGAAGTTACAAAGCGAGAAAAAAGGCTGCTCAGATTCAGTTTGTTTATTGTGTATCTACTATGTATTTCTAAAAATATGTCTTCGGAAAATATTAAAATAAGAATGGGCTTAATAAAATGTTGTCTGCAATAACCGTTTACAAGAATCATCTGCAGGAGGACTCGTATGAAAAAAGGTCTAAATAAAGATAATATAGGCCTATACAAATGTATCATGTTCTTATGCTTGAAACGTTTGTAATAAAGATCACTTTGAATGCTCAAATTTGTTGCAATTATTTTCAGTGTGGTATTAGGATTGGGGGTGGGGATCAGTACGCCTAACTCTAAATGACTGTTGTCGCAACAAAAGTCAGAGACAAAGTTGAGCTGCCAACATCGGCCAGTGTGATATACATCAAGAGTGTCTCAATGAACGAAAGAAAAATAGCAAGTTGTCTTTCATCACATTTTTGTGTGATAAGTTACTTTCGAGCAAAATTAGCTCAGATTTCTCATGAATGTGAAATATGCAATACATTAAAAATGTTTAAATGTGGTAAGAGCAAGTTGTAGTCCAAACTTAGTCAACTGAAGAAGTTTACTGCGTGAACGAACCCTCGTGCTCAATAAAACATTTGTTAGTCTTAAAGTTGTCAGTCAACATAAAAAATCAAATAAAATGTTGAATAGCTCATTTGAAAGGATCACATAAATTATTAGTTTCCTTCTAGAAGTAGATCAAAAAAGTAGTTTTTATCGATTTTCCACGACATTTACTACAAATAGGGCCTATCTAAATTATTTACCAGCCAATTTGAGGATCTATGTAAAAGAGTACAGAAAGTTATTATTCTACTGTCCAACAGTTGACTGGGGAATTTCTTTCTCATTCAAATTTTTAATTGGAAGTTTATAATTTCTTTATTAATAATAATAATAATAATAATAATAATAATAATAATAATTTGGATTTGCAAAGCGCAAAATACATAGGTCTCTATGTGCTAGAAATTTGCAAATTAAAATAAACTAAAGATGAGTCTTGGAAGGACAGAAGGAGACTCACGAACAAAGATAGGCAAGCTATTCCACACCTTGGGAGCAGCAACGGAAAATGCTCTTTCACCATACGTTCTTGTACGACATTAATGGATGAACAATGTAGATGAACTAGATGTAGATCTTAAAGCTCTAGAAAAAGTTTTGGAGCGAAGTTTAATCAGGTTGGAAATGTATGAGGGTGATTTATTATTTAATGATTTATATGTGAAAAGCAACAATTTAAATGAGATGCGTTGCTTAACAGGTAACCAGTGCAGGCGACGAAGAGTAGGTGTTATATGCTCAAATCTAGAAAC